AGCAGCAAAAACAAAAGTAGATAAATGGTTCTGTATTAACCTTAAATATTTTTCTGCATCAAAGACACAAAGAATGAAAGGCAGAGACTAATATAGGGGAAAGTACTTGTGCGTCACAGACTAATAAGAGGTTAAGGTATAAAAATATATAAATAAGTCCTTTAACTCAACAAAAGAAAACAGTCTGATGAACAAATGGACAAATAGGCAAAGATTGAATGAACATGTATGTAAAGAATGTAAAAATGACCAGATGCTCAGCATCACTAGTCATTACAGAAATGCAAATGAAATCACAATTAAATACTATCTCACACCCATTAGGATAGCTGCTATCATGAGAACAGAGAAAACAAGTGTTGGTGAGGATGTGGAGAAACTGGAGGCTTTGTGTATTGTTGGTCAGAATGTAAAAAGCTAGGGTTGCTATGGAAAAACAGTATGGTGGTTCATCAGAAAGTTAAAAATCAAATTGCTATATGATATAACAATCCCATTTCTGGGTATATGTCCATAGTAATTGAAAGTAGACTTGAAAGAGATATTTGCATACCCATGTCCATCACAGAAATATTCAATATAGCCAAGGTGGATGCAATCCAAATGTACATCAGCAGGTGAATGGATTTAAAAAATGTATCTTTGTAAAAATACCGGATGGTCTCACTCATAACAGGAATCTAGAAAACCTAAATAAGGGACCAGGAAAAAGAATAACTATAAAAAAGAAAAAATCAAAATCAACAAACAACTATGAACCAGAGACACAATTTGGGGGGGGGCGGGGAAAAGGAGGGATTGGGGTCAAAATCAAGGGGTTGCAATTATATGGGGAATATAAAAATAAAATTATAAAAAGAAACAAAAAATGTATCTTTGTGTAATAGAATATTATTTTACTTTAAAAAGGAAGGAATTCCTGTCACATGCTACATTGTAGACAGACCTTCTTGGACATTATAACTGAAATAAGCCAGTCGTAAAATAGATGACTACTTTGTGATTCCTCCTATTTGAGGTATCTAAGTAGTCAAACTAATGCAAAAAGAAGGTGAATGGTGGTTGCCAGGGTTGTGGGAGCCAGAGAAATAGAAAATTTTTGTTTAATGGGTATAGTTCTGGTGAGTGGGTACACAGCAGTACAAATATACTGACACTACTGAACAGTGCATTCAAAAAGAATAGATTGATAGACTTTGTTATCTGTTTTTTCACTACAATTAAAAAAAAAATCCAATCTCTTCACTGTGTTTTCCAAGATGCTACATTATCTGGTCCCTGCTTAATTCTCAAAAATTGTCTCTTGCAGATCTTTTTCTCAATTCTCACTCCTAGGTCACTAAGAAATGGAAAAAGGGGCTAGTTAGAAAGAATTTTTTGGCTTTCTCATTGAAGTAGTGAGGTTAGTTCATTACTATGAACTTCCTTTATTATGTCCAGTACCTTAAAAATCTTTCAGTCCTAAACTTTTCAACAAAGTTCACATCATCACTTCTCTACAGAAATTGCTGTTTCCAAATCACAAAATGTCAAGTTACCAAATCAAGGAACATATTTCCTTCCTTACTTTCTTAACTATTTTAGGATACTTGAACTGTTGAAATGTTAACACTCCCCTTTTCAGTGCAAATAGCATGAACTTGGATAACAAATAATTTTCAAATCTTATTTCCAACACCTGTTTGTTATGTGACTATGGGCAGAACTTTATATGGTGGGTTTTCTCAATGTTCCATCCTTGGTTTTTATTCCCCACCCCCTCATTTTGATCATGCTCATAGCATCCTTCGTAGTGGTAAATGTTTATTTAGGAAAATCTATGAGCTTTTAATGTATCTACTTAATCTTCTCAATAAAGTTAAGGGAGTTACTGCTATCATCTAACATTTTTTTTTTATGAGAAAATCAGAGCATAGCCATCTTGAGTAGTTATCTATTACATAGCAAATTAATGACAAAGCTGAGAATCTGCATAGAGTGTATTGAGCTCTAGAGTCTGTACTTTTAACCAGTTCAATCAAAAATCTATGTGCAAATGACTCAAGCCCTGATCGCTTATTTAAAATATGGATTTTTTTTTTTTTTTTTTTTTTGGTGGGACCCTCGTCAGCGGCCGGGGAACGAACAGGTGCTGCAGAGGCTGCAGGCACCTGGATATTTTTATCCATTTGCTCACAGGAAAGCTCCCCCTGAGTTTCTCCTGGGACTCGCAAACTCACAATGTTCAAAACTAACTTTAATCCATTGAATGGCCTCACCTTCATCCAGTTGCCCAATATAGAACTCTAGAAATAACTTGAAATAGATTCCTTCCTCTTCTTTACCTCCAGATTCAAATGAGGATCAAATTCTGTTGACCAGGCCTCCCTACCTCTTGTCTTCTCTAATCATCACTGACTGTTTAATGTAGACATTTGATTAAGGCACCTCTGCTCATAAATCTTCAATAGCTTATCCTCAGGGTAAAATCTAAATAGCCATTTGTAGTGAGACCCACAGAAGAGTGTTTTTCAAACTGTGCTGAAAGATCAGGGTTTATATTTCCTGTCTGTCAGGGACTGACACTTTCTTACAATGGAATTAGTCACACACTTGGGTATTGCACCAGTGAGGGCCAAGTTGTTATAAAACTTTTCTAAATCTTTACCCTCAATTTCTATGCTTGTCTTGCTGTGCCATGTAACACAGCTTGCATGTCAACAATGGAGTGTGGACCTACTTATTGTCATATGGAACTATACAGTGATTATGAATGGTAAGCTGTGTTGGACACCTTTTCTCTTTTTTCTCCCTATTCTACTATTCAGTATACTTTTGTCTGCTGATAAAGTTGTGGCTTGACGTTCTTTGGAGAAAGTTTTTGTGTGGTTAAAGGAGAGATGGGAAGATGGGTTCTAAACCATAAGATCGTGCTAGTCAAAGGAAAACCTAGAGAGTTTTAATTATTTTGCATGAAAATTGTTTATTCACTGATGAGGGAGTTGGCTGATGAAATAAGGAACAGAATTAAAACTTTATAAAGGAAGGAGAGAGAACAGAGAGACAGACAGAGTCTGGGCTGTTCCCAGTGATCTTCTTTTCTCCTTTTTGGGTAAATAGTTTTCTGTCAGCTAGGAAAAAAAGGATTGTTTGGTAATTCTGTCTTTGAATTAGCAGTGATAAGGAGAAAAAAACAATTTCAGTTGTTTTTGATTTCTTCAAAAAATATTGAGGGTTTGGCTGTGGCGTACACCTATGATCTTGTTCTCCTTGGAGTAACGTGTGTTATCATCCTGCCATCAATACCTCTAGTTTATTTACACTAGGTCTGCGTTATTTGCCTTATTACAAGTTTGAATGTTTCAATCTGTGATTTCAGTCTGATCCCACCTAGAAAAGGGCCTCAGGCAGGAGCTGAATTAACTGGTTGTGTGCAACTTGGAAGCAAATAGCAAACTCTGTTACAGAAAATGGACAGAGGCATTCTCTTCTTATTTGTGTCTGTGGTAATTCAGTAAGGTCTGCTTGTTTGGCATATTTAGGATTTTACAGCATTTTAGGGGCATTTCAGATCTGGGGATGACACTTTAAGCAGGGAAACAGGAGATTGGTAGGGCATATGCCTCCTTCTAGTGACTTGTGGAGAGCAAAGCTAGTCATAATATTATGTGAGGTATATCAGAAAAAAAGTTTATTTGTTGCTTTTCATTTAATACCTATCTTCTTGGGATCACTTAATCTCTGACAATTGTTTTCACTTTAGCTTGATTTATTCAAGAAAAACGGGGTTAAAAGGAGGGAGCTTTTGTAAGTGCTTTTAGAAAACTGCTAAATTCAGAGTTAGGAGATTTGAGAGCTAATTGCTTGTTTGTTTGTTTGTTTGTTTGTTTGTTTGTTTTTTGGTATGGATTATTTGTATCAAATACTCACCTGCAAAATGTGAAAATGTGCCCTCTGCTCTAATACTATAAAGAATGAAAAGGAGGGTATGATTCTCAGAGAGATATTCCTTCTCATGGCTGAAATTTGTTCACATTTTTACTACTGTATTTTACATCTCCTCATCCACTTTCCTAAAGAATTATATATATGTATTTTCTTTATAAGGAAGGAGGGCATTTTCTCTATTGCTTTTCCTTTATCAACTATTTCATCACAGTTCATTGCTACACCAGTCTTATTGTCTTTGGAAGAAGGACCAGTTTCCTATTCTTGATTTAACTTGGCTAATTACAAATTGAGTAGATATTTAGATAATAATCATGGTGCTATTCATGGTTGAGCAAAGGCTGTTTTTTTTTTCATCCTAAAGGTGACTGTGGGACAATGATTATATTCAAGAAAAATATAGAATTTGAAAATTCCTTCCTCTTTAGATATCTTATTACTTCTTTATGGAAATCACAGCATTTGGTTATACTGCTTTCCATTATTCAAGAAAAAGCTGTTAATTCAAGCAGTGAAGTAAATCCTTAGCTCTTGATGAGAAATAACCTTATAAGAGACAAAGTATAACCCATGATCAATTGTTTATTTTGAATTTGCATGCAGTATACATTTGTTGAAAACTGTTAAGTCCAACATAATGAATACAAAATAATACAGATATCCCATAGAAAATGAAACAGGAAAGAGGAATTGAGCCCCAAGGTTAACCAAGCAGTGTGGATGCCAGAAGGTTAAATTACTCATTTTTGTTCTCTGAAAAAATTTGATAATTTGAATGTGCCAATCAGAGATTTGTAAAATTTACATAGCACAAGAAAAATACTTTCTTGACTTCCAATCTTAAAAAGCTAATGATTTCTAAAAAACAACCAAGATACTGAATTCTTAATGTGAATTTTCTAAATATAAATTAAAAGCATCCAAAATAGTAGCATTATTACCAATCTGAGATATAATGGAATATATTAAAAGAAAGAGATAGAAGAGACCAAACCATCTATATGAATATTTTTTATTCATATTGGTGTACGTGTTCCTACTCAGGTTGTGGTGAACACATTTATATCGGTATCTCACTCATAATAATAGTAACTTTGTGACACATAAAACCCTAGTTCTTTTGAAGTATCACGGTTATGTAAGTTCTCACTGTTAGTAGATGAATGACTCTTATGTAATGTTTTGTGTTTTCTTAAACTCCCTGTGTGGGCAAGAACACTCCCTGACTGATCATCAGGGTGTTCAGATTCCAATTGTTCCTCACTGTCACTGTGCTGACTGACACTGGATTCTCCATGTTTGCTGTCTCGGGATCCAGAGACCTTTGCTCCATGTCGAGTCCCTGAGTGCCTGGCGGTATCTCCTAACTGACCATGGCTGTGCCCTTTCCTGTACTTGGTATCAGATCCTACCTGCGTACGGGCAGAGTCTGAGTGCCAGTGGGAGTCAGTCTGCCCTTGATGTGGTACTTTGTATTCAGAGCTGCCTCCAGCAAGGCCACGGGTAGACCTATGTTGTTTTCCTGAACCGGCCCCAAGCCCACCAGGGGTGGTGGATTTTCTCCTGGAATCTTCTGAGTGTCCTTCGCTGTCACTGTCCTGACTAATACTGGACCCTCTGTGAGCACTTGGCTGGCGTGTGGATGACTGGTGTCCGTGGCCGGACTGTGCAGGTCCGGAGCCGTCTGCCTGTCTGTGACTAGACCCTGTGTGTCTGGAGCCATCTCTTGCCTGCTGGGGATGGGTTTCTTGTTTCCCTCTGGTGCTGGTTCCAGACGTCCCACGGGAGGAAGTCTCAGAGCGACCACCAGTTGTTGCCTGATGTTCATGGGTGCCAGCATGTCGGGTGCTGTCTCTTGCCTGCTCGTGGCGTGTTGCTTTCTTGTCCTTGGTGCTGGCTTTTTCCTGTCCATGGGCTGAATCAGGCTCCTCTTCGGAGACTACCTGGTACAGACGGGACCCAGAGTGCCCGTGCTTTTCTGCTGACTGTCCACGTGTGGACCCACGTTGTTTTGTTTGAGTGGACCCAGCGTTTCTGTGGGTTGACCCTGACTGACCATCAGAGAGTTCTGACTGTCCTTCACTGTCGCTGTCCTGACTCACACTGGCTTCCCGATGTTTGCTGTGTGGGGATCCAGATGCCTTTGCTCCGTGTCCAGTCCCTGAGTGCCTGGTGGTGTCTCCTGACTGCCCATGGCTGTGCCCTTTCCTGTCTCTAGTAGTGGATCCTGCTTGCTTGCGGGCAGAGTCTGAGTGCAAGTGGGAGTCAGTCTGCCCTTGATGTGGTCCCGAGTGCCCTGAGCTGCCTCCAGCAAGGCCACGGGTAGACCCATGTTGTTTTCCTGAACCGGCCCCAGGTCCACCAAGGGTGGTGGAGGATTGTCTCCCGGAATCTTCTGACTGTCCTTCACTGTCGCTGTCCTGGCTTATGCTGGACCCTCGGTGAGCGCTTGGCTGGCGTGTGGATGACTGGTGTCCGTGGCCGGAATGTGCATGTCCAGAGCTGTCTGCCTGGCTGTGATGAGGCCCTGTGTGTCTGGAGCCGTCTCTTGCCAGCTGGGCATGGGTTTCTTGTTTCCCTCTGGTGCTGGTTCCAGACGTCCCACGGGAGGAAGTCTCAGAGCGACCACCAGTTGTTGCCTGATGTTCATGGGTGCCAGCATGTCGGGTGCTGTCTCTTGCCTGCTCGTGGCGTGTTGCTTTCTTGTCCTTGGTGCTGGCTTTTTCCTGTGCATGGGCTGAATCAGGCTCCTCTTCGGAGACTACCTGGTACAGACGGGACCCAGAGTGCCCGTGCTTTTCTGCTGACTGTCCACGTGTGGACCCACGTTGTTTTGTTTGAGTGGACCCAGCGTTTCTGTGGGTTGACCCTGACTGACCATCAGAGAGTTCTGACTGTCCTTCACTGTCGCTGTCCTGACTCACACTGGCTTCCCGATGTTTGCTATGTGGGGATCCAGATGCCTTTGCTCCGTGTCCAGTCCCTGAGTGCCTGGCGGTGTCTCCTGACTGCCCATGGCCGTGCCCTTTCCTGTCTCTAGTAGTGGATCCTGCCTGCGTGCGGGCAGAGTCTGAGTGCAAGTGGGAGTCAGTCTGCCCTTGATGTGGTCCCGTGTGCCCTGAGCTGCCTCCAGCAAGGCCACGGGTAGACCCATGTTGTTTTCCTGAACCGGCCCCAGGCCCGCCAAGGGTGGTGGAGGACTGTCTCCCGGAATCTTCTGACTGTCCTTCACTGTCACTGTCCTGGCTTATGCTGGACCCTCGGTGAGCGCTTGGCTGGCGTGTGGATGACTGGTGTCCGTGGCCGGACTGTGCATGTCCAGAGCTGTCTGCCTGGCTGTGACTAGACCCTGTGTGTCTGGAGCCATCTCTTGCCTGCTGGGGATGGGTTTCTTGTTTCCCTCTGGTGCTGGTTCCAGATGTCCCACGGGAGGAAGTCTCAGAGCGACCACCAGTTGTTGCCTGACGCTCATGGGTGCCAGCGTGTCGGGTGCTGTCTCTTGCCTGCTCGTGGTGCGTTGCTTTCTTGTCCTTGGTGCTGGCTTTTTCCTGTGCATGGGCTGAATCAGGCTCCTCTTCGGAGACTACCTGGTACAGACGGGACCCAGAGTGCCCGTGCTTTTCTGCTGACTGTCCACGTGTGGACCCACGTTGTTTTGTTTGAGTGGACCCAGCGTTTCTGTGGGTTGACCCTGACTGACCATCAGAGAGTTCTGACTGTCCTTCACTGTCACTGTCCTGACTCACACTGGCTTCCCGATGTTTGCTGTGTGGGGATCCAGATGCCTTTGCTCCGTGTCCAGTCCCTGAGTGCCTGGCGGTGTCTCCTGACTGCCCTTGACTGTGCCCTTTCCTGTCTCTAGTACTGGATCCTGCCTGCGTGCGGGCAGAGTCTGAGTGCAAGTGGGAGTCAGTCTGCCCTTGATGTGACCCCGTGTGCCCTGAGCTGCCTCCAGCAAGGCCACGGGTAGACCCATGTTGTTTTCCTGAACCGGCCCCAAGCCCGCCAGGGGTGGTGGATTGTCTCCTGGAATTTTCTGAGTGTCCTTCGCTGTCACTGTCCTGACTAATACTGGACCCTCTGTGAGCACTTGGCTGGCGTGTGGATGACTGGTGTCCGTGGCCGAAATGTGCAGGTCCGGAGCCGTCTGCCTGTCTGTGACTAGACCCTGTGTGTCTGGAGCCATCTCTTGCCTGCTGGGGATGGGTTTCTTGTTTCCCTCTGGTGCTGGTTCCAGACGTCCCACGGGAGGAAGTCTCAGAGCGACCACCAGTGACTGCCTGATGTTCATGGGTGCCAGCATGTCGGGTGCTGTCTCTTGCCTGCTCGTGGTGCGTTGCTTTCTTGTCCTTGGTGCTGGCTGTTTCCTGTGCATGGGCTGAATCAGACTCCTCTTCGGAGACTACCTGGTACAGACAGGACCCAGAGTGCCCGTGCTTTTCTGCTGACTGTCCACGTGTGGACCCACGTTGTTTTGTTTGAGTGGACCCAGCGTTTCTGTGGGTTGACCCTGACTGACCATCAGAGAGTTCTGACTGTCCTTCACTGTCGCTGTCCTGACTCACACTGGCTTCCCGATGTTTGCTGTGTGGGGATCCAGATGCCTTTGCTCCGTGTCCAGTCCCTGAGTGCCTGGCGGTGTCTCCTGACTGCCCATGGCTGTGCCCTTTCCTGTCTCTAGTGGTGGATCCTGCTTGCTTGCGGGCAGAGTCTGAGTGCAAGTGGGAGTCAGTCTGCCCTTGATGTGGTCCCGTGTGCCCTGAGCTGCCTCCAGCAAGGCCACGGGTAGACCCATGTTGTTTTCCTGAACCGGCCCCAGGCCCACCAGGGGTGGTGGAGGATTGTCTCCCGGAATCTTCTGACTGCCCTTCACTGTCACTGTCCTGGCTTATGCTGGACCCTCGGTGAGCGCTAGGCTGGCGTGTGGATGACTGGTGTCCGTGGCCGGAATGTGCATGTCCAGAGCTGTCTGCCTGGCTGTGATGAGGCCCTGTGTGTCTGGAGCCGTCTCTTGCCAGCTGGGCATGGGTTTCTTGTTTCCCTCTGGTGCTGGTTCCAGATGTCCCACGGAAGGAAGTCTCAGAGCGACCACCAGTTGTTGCCTGACGCTCATGGGTGCCAGCGTGTCGGGTGCTGTCTCTTGCCTGCTCGTGGTGCGTTGCTTTCTTGTCCTTGGTGCTGGCTGTTTCCTGTGCATGGGCTGAATCAGGCTCCTCTTCGGAGACTACCTGGTACAGACGGGACCCAGAGTGCCCGTGCTTTTCTGCTGACTGTCCACGTGTGGACCCACGTTGTTTTGTTTGAGTGGACCCAGCGTTTCTGTGGGTTGACCCTGACTGACCATCAGAGAGTTCTGACTGTCCTTCACTGTCGCTGTCCTGACTCACACTGGCTTCCCGATGTTTGCTGTGTGGGGATCCGGATGCCTTTGCTCCGTGTCCAGTCCCTGAGTGCCTGGTGGTGTCTCCTGACTGCCCATGGCTGTGCCCTTTCCTGTCTCTAGTAGTGGATCCTGCTTGCTTGCGGGCAGAGTCTGAGTGCAAGTGGGAGTCAGTCTGCCCTTGATGTGGTCCCGTGTGCCCTGAGCTGCCTCCAGCAAGGCCACGGGTAGACCCTTGGTGTTTTCCTGAACCGGCCCCAGGCCCGCCAGGGGTGGTGGAGGATTGTCTCCCGGAATCTTCTGACTGTCCTTCACTGTCACTGTCCTGGCTTATGCTGGACCCTCGGTGAGCGCTTGGCTGGCGTGTGGATGACTGGTGTCCATGGCCGGACTGTGCACGTCCAGAGCCGTCTGCCTGGCTATGACGAGACCCTGTGTGTCTGGAGCCATCTCTTGCCTGCTGGGGATGGGTTTCTTTTTTCCCTCTGGTGCTGGTTCCAGATGTCCCATGGGAGGAAGTCTCAGAGCGACCACCAGTTGTTGCCTGACGCTCATGGGTGCCAGCGTGTCGGGTGCTGTCTCTTGCCTGCTCGTGGCGCGTTGCTTTCTTGTCCTTGGTGCTGGCTGTTTCCTGTGCATGGGCTGAATCAGGCTCCTCTTCGGAGACTACCTGGTACAGACGGGACCCAGAGTGCCCGTGCTTTTCTGCTGACTGTCCACGTGTGGACCCACGTTGTTTTGTTTGAGTGGACCCAGCGTTTCTGTGGGTTGACCCTGACTGACCATCAGAGAGTTCTGACTGTCCTTCACTGTCGCTGTCCTGACTCACACTGGCTTCCCGATGTTTGCTGTGTGGGGATCCGGATGCCTTTGCTCTGTGTCCAGTCCCTGAGTGCCTGGCGGTGTCTCCTGACTGCCCTTGACTGTGCCCTTTCCTGTCTCTAGTAGTGGATCCTGCCTGCGTGCGGGCAGAGTCTGAGTGCAAGTGGGAGTCAGTCTGCCCTTGATGTGGTCCCGTGTGCCCTGAGCTGCCTCCAGCAAGGCCACGGGTAGACCCATGTTGTTTTCCTGAACCGGCCCCAGGTCCACCAAGGGTGGTGGAGGATTGTCTCCCGGAATCTTCTGACTGCCCTTCACTGTCACTGTCCTGGCTTATGCTGGACCCTCGGTGAGCGCTAGGCTGGCGTGTGGATGACTGGTGTCCGTGGCCGGAATGTGCATGTCCAGAGCTGTCTGCCTGGCTGTGACTAGACCCTGTGTGTCTGGAGCCGTCTCTTGCCAGCTGGGCATGGGTTTCTTGTTTCCCTCTGGTGCTGGTTCCAGACGTCCCACGGGAGGAAGTCTCAGAGCGACCACCAGTTGTTGCCTGACGCTCATGGGTGCCAGCGTGTCGGGTGCTGTCTCTTGCCTGCTCGTGGCGCGTTGCTTTCTTGTCCTTGGTGCTGGCTTTTTCCTGTGCATGGGCTGAATCAGGCTCCTCTTCGGAGACTACCTGGTACAGACGGGACCCAGAGTGCCCGTGCTTTTCTGCTGACTGTCCACGTGTGGACCCACGTTGTTTTGTTTGAGTGGACCCAGCGTTTCTGTGGGTTGACCCTGACTGACCATCAGAGAGTTCTGACTGTCCTTCACTGTCGCTGTCCTGACTCACACTGGCTTCCCGATGTTTGCTGTGTGGGGATCCAGATGCCATTGCTCCGTGTCCAGTCCCTGAGTGCCTGGCGGTGTCTCCTGACTGCCCATGGCTGTGCCCTTTCCTGTCTCTAGTAGTGGATCCTGCTTGCTTGCGGGCAGAGTCTGAGTGCAAGTGGGAGTCAGTCTGCCCTTGATGTGGTCCTGTGTGCCCTGAGCTGCCTCCAGCAAGGCCACGGGTAGACCCTTGGTGTTTTCCTGAACCGGCCCCAGGCCCGCCAAGGGTGGTGGAGGATTGTCTCCCGGAATCTTCTGACTGTCCTTCACTGTCACTGTCCTGGCTTATGCTGGACCCTCGGTGAGCGCTTGGCTGGCGTGAGGAAGACTGGTGTCCGTGGCTGGACTGTGCACGTCCAGAGCCGTCTGCCTGGCTATGACGAGACCCTGTGTGTCTGGAGCCATCTCTTGCCTGCTGGGGATGGGTTTCTTTTTTCCCTCTGGTGCTGGTTCCAGACGTCCCATGGGAGGAAGTCTCAGAGCGACCACCAGTTGTTGCCTGACGCTCATGGGTGCCAGCGTGTCGGGTGCTGTCTCTTGCCTGCTCGTGGCGCGTTGCTTTCTTGTCCTTGGTGCTGGCTGTTTCCTGTGCATGGGCTGAATCAGGCTCCTCTTCGGAGACTACCTGGTACAGACGGGACCCAGAGTGCCCGTGCTTTTCTGCTGACTGTCCACGTGTGGACCCACGTTGTTTTGTTTGAGTGGACCCAGCGTTTCTGTGGGTTGACCCTGACTGACCATCAGAGAGTTCTGACTGTCCTTCACTGTCGCTGTCCTGACTCACACTGGCTTCCCGATGTTTGCTGTGTGGGGATCCAGATGCCTTTGCTCCGTGTCCAGTCCCTGAGTGCCTGGCGGTGTCTCCTGACTGCCCATGGCTGTGCCCTTTCCTGTCTCTAGTGGTGGATCCTGCTTGCTTGCGGGCAGAGTCTGAGTGCAAGTGGGAGTCAGTCTGCCCTTGATGTGGTCCCGAGTGCCCTGAGCTGCCTCCAGCAAGGCCACGGGTAGACCCATGTTGTTTTCCTGAACCGGCCCCAGGCCCACCAGGGGTGGTGGAGGATTGTCTCCCGGAATCTTCTGACTGCCCTTCACTGTCACTGTCCTGGCTTATGCTGGACCCTCGGTGAGCGCTAGGCTGGCGTGTGGATGACTGGTGTCCGTGGCCGGAATGTGCATGTCCAGAGCTGTCTGCCTGGCTGTGACTAGACCCTGTGTGTCTGGAGCCGTCTCTTGCCAGCTGGGCATGGGTTTCTTGTTTCCCTCTGGTGCTGGTTCCAGATGTCCCACGGAAGGAAGTCTCAGAGCGACCACCAGTTGTTGCCTGACGCTCATGGGTGCCAGCGTGTCGGGTGCTGTCTCTTGCCTGCTCGTGGCGCGTTGCTTTCTTGTCCTTGGTGCTGGCTGTTTCCTGTGCATGGGCTGAATCAGGCTCCTCTTCGGAGACTACCTGGTACAGACGGGACCCAGAGTGCCCGTGCTTTTCTGCTGACTGTCCACGTGTGGACCCACGTTGTTTTGTTTGAGTGGACCCAGCGTTTCTGTGGGTTGACCCTGACTGACCATCAGAGAGTTCTGACTGTCCTTCACTGTCGCTGTCCTGACTCACACTGGCTTCCCGATGTTTGCTGTGTGGGGATCCAGATGCCTTTGCTCCGTGTCCAGTCCCTGAGTGCCTGGCGGTGTCTCCTGACTGCCCATGGCTGTGCCCTTTCCTGTCTCTAGTAGTGGATCCTGCTTGCTTGCGGGCAGAGTCTGAGTGCAAGTGGGAGTCAGTCTGCCCTTGATGTGGTCCCGTGTGCCCTGAGCTGCCTCCAGCAAGGCCACGGGTAGACCCTTGGTGTTTTCCTGAACCGGCCCCAGGCCCGCCAGGGGTGGTGGAGGATTGTCTCCCGGAATCTTCTGACTGTCCTTCACTGTCACTGTCCTGGCTTATGCTGGACCCTCGGTGAGCGCTTGGCTGGCGTGAGGAAGACTGGTGTCCGTGGCCGGACTGTGCACGTCCAGAGCCGTCTGCCTGGCTATGACGAGACCCTGTGTGTCTGGAGCCATCTCTTGCCTGCTGGGGATGGGTTTCTTTTTTCCCTCTGGTGCTGGTTCCAGACGTCCCATGGGAGGAAGTCTCAGAGCGACCACCAGTTGTTGCCTGACGCTCATGGGTGCCAGCGTGTCGGGTGCTGTCTCTTGCCTGCTCGTGGCGCGTTGCTTTCTTGTCCTTGGTGCTGGCTGTTTCCTGTGCATGGGCTGAATCAGGCTCCTCTTCGGAGACTACCTGGTACAGACGGGACCCAGAGTGCCCGTGCTTTTCTGCTGACTGTCCACGTGTGGACCCACGTTGTTTTGTTTGAGTGGACCCAGCGTTTCTGTGGGTTGACCCTGACTGACCATCAGAGAGTTCTGACTGTCCTTCACTGTCGCTGTCCTGACTCACACTGGCTTCCCGATGTTTGCTGTGTGGGGATCCGGATGCCTTTGCTCCGTGTCCAGTCCCTGAGTGCCTGGCGGTGTCTCCTGACTGCCCATGGCTGTGCCCTTTCCTGTCTCTAGTGGTGGATCCTGCTTGCTTGCGGGCAGAGTCTGAGTGCAAGTGGGAGTCAGTCTGCCCTTGATGTGGTCCCGTGTGCCCTGAGCTGCCTCCAGCAAGGCCACGGGTAGACCCATGTTGTTTTCCTGAACCGGCCCCAGGCCCACCAAGGGTGGTGGAGGATTGTCTCCCGGAATCTTCTGACTGTCCTTCACTGTCACTGTCCTGGCTTATGCTGGACCCTCGGTGAGCACTTGGCTGGTGTGTGGATGACTGGTGTCCGTGGCCGGAATGTGCATGTCCAGAGCTGTCTGCCTGGCTGTGATGAGGCCCTGTGTGTCTGGAGCCGTCTCTTGCCAGCTGGGCATGGGTTTCTTGTTTCCCTCTGGTGCTGGTTCCAGACGTCCCTCGGGAGGAAGTCTCAGAGCGACCACCAGTTGTTGCCTGACGCTCATGGGTGCCAGCGTGTCGGGTGCTGTCTCTTGCCTGCTCGTGGTGCGTTGCTTTCTTGTCCTTGGTGCTGGCTGTTTCCTGTGCATGGGCTGAATCAGGCTCCTCTTCGGAGACTACCTGGTACAGACAGGACCCAGAGTGCCCGTGCTTTTCTGCTGACTGTCCACGTGTGGACCCACGTTGTTTTGTTTGAGTGGACCCAGCGTTTCTGTGGGTTGACCCTGACTGACCATCAGAGAGTTCTGACTGTCCTTCACTGTCACTGTCCTGACTCACACTGGCTTCCCGATGTTTGCTGTGTGGGGATCCAGATGCCTTTGCTCCGTGTCCAGTCCCTGAGTGCCTGGCGGTGTCTCCTGACTGCCCATGGCCGTGCCCTTTCCTGTCTCTAGTAGTGGATCCTGCTTGCTTGCGGCAGAGTCTGAGTGCAAGTGGGAGTCAGTCTGCCCTTGATGTGGTCCCGTGTGCCCTGAGCTGCCTCCAGCAAGGCCACGGGTAGACCCTTGGTGTTTTCCTGAACCGGCCCCAGGCCCGCCAGGGGTGGTGGAGGATTGTCTCCCGGAATCTTCTGACTGTCCTTCACTGTCACTGTCCTGGCTTATGCTGGACCCTCGGTGAGCACTTGGCTGGCGTGAGGAAGACTGGTGTCCGTGGCTGGACTGTGCACGTCCAGAGCCGTCTGCCTGGCTATGACGAGACCCTGTGTGTCTGGAGCCATCTCTTGCCTGCTGGGGATGGGTTTCTTTTTTCCCTCTGGTGCTGGTTCCAGACGTCCCATGGGAGGAAGTCTCAGAGCGACCACCAGTTGTTGCCTGACGCTCATGGGTGCCAGCGTGTCGGGTGCTGTCTCTTGCCTGCTCGTGGCGCGTTGCTTTCTTGTCCTTGGTGCTGGCTGTTTCCTGTGCATGGGCTGAATCAGGCTCCTCTTCGGAGACTACCTGGTACAGACGGGACCCAGAGTGCCCGTGCTTTTCTGCTGACTGTCCACGTGTGGACCCACGTTGTTTTGTTTGAGTGGACCCAGCGTTTCTGTGGGTTGACCCTGACTGACCATCAGAGAGTTCTGACTGTCCTTCACTGTCGCTGTCCTGACTCACACTGGCTTCCCGATGTTTGCTGTGTGGGGATCCGGATGCCTTTGCTCTGTGTCCAGTCCCTGAGTGCCTGGCGGTGTCTCCTGACTGCCCTTGACTGTGCCCTTTCCTGTCTCTAGTAGTGGATCCTGCCTGCGTGCGGGCAGAGTCTGAGTGCAAGTGGGAGTCAGTCTGCCCTTGATATGATCCCGTGTGCCCTGAGCTGCCTCCAGCAAGGCCACGGGTAGACCCATGTTGTTTTCCTGAACCGGCCCCAGGTCCACCAAGGGTGGTGGAGGATTGTCTCCCGGAATCTTCTGACTGCCCTTCACTGTCACTGTCCTGGCTTATGCTGGACCCTCGGTGAGCGCTTGGCTGGCGTGTGGATGACTGGTGTCCGTGGCCGGACTGTGCACGTCCAGAGCTGTCTGCCTGGCTGTGACTAGACCCTGTGTGTCTGGAGCCATCTCTTGCCTCCTGGGGATGGGTTTCTTGTTTCCCTCTGGTGCTGGTTCCAGATGTCCCACGGGAGGAAGTCTCAGAGCGACCACCAGTTGTTGCCTGACGCTCATGGGTGCCAGCATGTCGGGTGCTGTCTCTTGCCTGCTCGTGGTGCGTTGCTTTCTTGTCCTTGGTGCTGGCTGTTTCCTGTGCATGGGCTGAATCAGGCTCCTCTTCGGAGACTACCTGGTACAGACGGGACCCAGAGTGCCCGTGCTTTTCTGCTGACTGTCCACGTGTGGACCCACGTTGTTTTGTTTGAGTGGACCCAGCGTTTCTGTGGGTTGACCCTGACTGACCATCAGAGAGTTCTGACTGTCCTTCATTGTCGCTGTCCTGACTCACACTGGCTTCCTGATGTTTGCTGTGTGGGGATCCGGATGCCTTTGCTCCATGTCCAGTCCCTGAGTGCCTGGCGGTGTCTCCTGACTGCCCATGGCCGTGCCCTTTCCTGTCTCTACGACCGGATCCTGCCTGCGTGCGGGTAGAGTCTGAGTGCAAGTGGGATTCAGTCTGCCCTTGATGTGGTCCTGTGTGCCCTGAGCTGCCTCCATCAAGGCCATGGGCAGACCCATGTTGTTTTCCTGAACTGGCGCCAGGCCCGCCATGGGTGGTGGAGGATTGTCTCCCGGAATCTTCTGACTGTCCTTTCCTGTTCCTCTTATGACCTGAGGTGTATTCATCACCAGTATTTTCTTCGTTTGCATTTATTGTGCTGATATTTGACTTGTGTCTTCTTTCTTGTACTTCTTTTGGTCCTGATCTAACTTGCTTTTCCTCAGGTAAAACATTCTGTTTTTTCCCATGTCCTCTTTTGTGTCCCTGTGTTGATTTTTCATGGTTCCCTCTATGACCGCTTGAATCAGCGTCATGATCTCTCTTCCTGCTCCCTCTTGGACTCTTGGATCTTGATTTCTCTCCTTTTTCTTTGTTTTTTGATACTCTTGTCTTTCTGGTAGTTTCATCCTTCTCTTCTTCCTCTGTTTCTTCTTCTGTGTCATCTTCTTCAAATTGATTATGGTTTCCATGCTCTTCCTCATTTTTACCTGATGTTCTGTGGTGTTTTCTTCCTACAGAGACATAGTATGCTTGTGCCAACCTAAATACCATGAGAAGAAACTCTGTGAAGTCTATTTCATTGTTGTGGTCCACATCAAGGATTTCCATGAAGACTTCAGCAGTGTCTGGGTCATCTGGATTCTGTAGATGCAAGATAGAAACTTAGGAGTATAGGAGCCTGACTCAGACGAACAATTAAGTAATTTTAAGTAGTTAGGAAATTCTATTTCTTGGTAGATCAAATCAGAGCCAATATGGAATATTGTTTTTTCTTTAGTTGTCTTCAACATATTCTGTTTAATCTTAAAACTGTAGGTGCTCCATAACAGATATGTCTTTAATTCTAGCATGGTGACCAAAACAATGATTTATAAGTAAAATAAGCTGTTAAGTGTTTCAAATATTAATATTTCATAAAATTCACAAATTTACCCTCTGAATATTTTTGTTTTAGGAAGAATGTAGAGCTATGTAATTTTTATTCATGTGTTTTTATTATTTATTTTTCCTTTAGTATGTGTATTGATTGTTTGTTGGTGTACATACGGGTGTGTTTCCAGGTAATTTTGTAAATATATAAATATGAAGGGAGAATAACCTTTTATCTCTCTGAAGTATGTTTAAGTTTGTTCCTATTCTACATAAAGTAATTTAGAACTATTTACCTATTTTCCTATTAGATTATTTATCAGGCTAGGCATCTGTTTATACATGGCAAATATCTTTTACCTTCAGGATTGGCCGAAACTCCACCTCCAGAAGCTCCTTTAGCTCTTTTTTGCTCAGTGTGTTATTCTCCTTATATTTGTTTGAATATTGGTCGAATAGGTCAATGATGGCAGTGATGTTCTCCAGGAGAGTGGACATTTTTTGATATATAGGTGAACCTTTAAAAAAATGTACTTTTATTGTATTTTATTCCTCTAGATTATACCATTCATTATAATGAATTTCTACATGTTTAAATCTACATGTTTAAATCACACATATAAACTGTTTTTAACAATGGAAGGTGAGCACAAAAAATCTATTTCCTACATAGAGAAATCAATCAAAATGTTTTACTACCAAGTTCTTGTCCTGGAACCATTTCATAGCAGGGTTGATATATTCTCATAGTTCTCATTGTAATTTTGATAATCCTATCCCTCTTCCCCATAGCAGGATTTGGGAATGTACAACTTGTTATAAGCAGGAAAACTTGCTTATACAAATTTGCTGAAGATCAATTCACCAAAAGCTAATTTTCTAAATAATCCATGGATTGAAAGGAAATTATTTGGTGTCAAATGTGCGATGTGGCTGAGACACTCAATGGATTGCCACTCATTATAGTTTTTACTTCCTAACATTATATGAAATTTTCAGTATTCTTAATTAGATAACTTGATTTTGTAACTTATCAATATTATAAAAAAGTTACCTGGTTTGAATAATTTTCAAAGATAACTATGTGAATACTTATTGACAATAATTTGTTTTACTTTTGTATCCCCATCTTTCAAGAAGAGCTAAAAAGTTTGTGTGTGTATGTGCACATGTGTGTAGCTATTAGAATGCTATCAGTTCTCAGATTGAATCTCCATTTAGATTGGCAGGGATGTTCATATTTGGTGACTTAAGTATCTGTGATTAAATATCTAATTAAATATATCAAACCACAAGTTCAAAAAAATGTCACTAACTTCAGGCATGATATGTAAGTAAACAATCTAGTCAAAAAATGGGCTGACGAGACACTTCTCCATTTGCAAAGGAAATACAGATGACCAACAGGTATATAAAAAAATGTTCAACATCACTTATAATCAGGGAAATGCAAATCAAAACCACCCTATACCAGTAAGGAAGGCACATATTAAAAAAACTAGCAACAACAAATGTTGGTGAGGATGTGGAGAAAAAGGAACTCTCTGACACTGATGGTGGGAGTACAAACTGGTCCAACCACTATGGAAAGCTGTGTGGATGTTCCTCAAACTATTTAAAATTGAGCTACCATGACACAGCAATTCTACTCCTAGGAATCTACCCAAAGAACACAAAAAGCATTAATTCAAAAGAATACCTGCACCCTTGTGTTTATTGCAGCACTATTTACAATAGGTAAGATATGGAAACAACACAAATGCCCAAAAGCAGATGACTGGATCAAGAAGATGTGTTATATATATGTAATGGAATACTATTCAGCAGTCAAAAAAGATAAACTCATGCCATTCACAGCAACATGGATGGAGCTGGAAGGGATTATGCTCAGTGAAATAAGCCAGAGGATAAAGAAAAAAAATATATCAGATGGTTTCACTTATAGGAGGAATATAGGGGAACCAAATAAGGTATCAGAAAAAATTAAAAAACAAAATTAGCAGCCAACTATAAATCAGAGACATTCTACAGGGGAGGAGGAGGGAGAGGGATCAAAACAGGGAAGGGAAGAGCATAAGGATCTAAGGTGATAGTGCACAGGTGAATTAGTGATGGGAATTACACCTGAGAGGAGAAAGCACACATTGTACAAAAAATGAACAATATATATAAACAAATTTTTAAAAAGCTCCCCCCAAAATAAAATAATGAAAACTTAAGAAGCAAGAATAAAAACATTGGAACAAATATGACTATTTTTTTTAAAAGGAAAAAAAAAGAAAAAACTAGGTACATAATAACAACACCCAAGGCATTAAGGAGATCTTAGTAGTAGGCAGAGAAAAAAACATTTCTTCAAAGAAACAACACTTATAGCTAATTTTTCAAAACAGACAGTGGAAGCCAGAGGTCAATGAAATGTTGTCTTCATCTTTCTAATGGAAATTAAATACTTAGAATTCTGTATCATCAAATTATCTATGAAACAGTAATTTTAAGTAAGGATATTTAGAAATAATAAAAGTAGAACCAATCACTTATAGACTTATAAAGGATATATTAAAGCTTGGAAAGGCAGGAAAGAATGAAAAATCAAAAGAGTAAATGTGTGAGAAAATCTATATTCATGTTGATTACATATAGCAATAACAATAACTATAAGAATAATATCTTTCAGGATTTGAGATAGATATAATTAGGTATAACAATACCTCACAAGGCTGGAGGAGTAAATGGAGTTGCAGTTTACTGGACACTTGAATTATTTTAGTAATGGTTAAATTTTTTAATAGTGTACTCAAATCAGGGATACATTTTTTTAATCTTTAGGGTAAGCATGAACATTGTAGTAAAAGAATGTATAATTAATAAGCTAACATAAGGAAAATTGGCATATATTTAATTCATTCAAAAAAGTCAAGAAAGTAAAAGAGATAAAGAGTGGGCGAGATAATAGAACTCAACAGGTTACATGGTAGATAAATAGTGCAGTAGTAAAACTGAATATAAATAGGCTAAATATTCTAATTCAAAAACTGATTGTCAGACAAAATTGCAAAGAAAAACTATGCTGCTTGCAAGAGACACATTAGTGATAGTAATGGTTGAAAGTAAGATGTTTGAAAAGTTATATCCTATTTAAACACTGTTTTTTGCTCTATTAACATAAAGTAGACTTTAAGGTCAAGAGCACTACTGGTAGGATATTTCTTAACAATAAAAGATCAAGGGGACTCCCTGGTGGCGCAAGGGGTTAAGCACCGCATTGTGAAGAAATCTGCAGCCTCTGCAGCATGAGTTCGATTCCCGACCGGTCAGGGAGCAACCCCCATGGCAAAGCAGACCTCTCCTGACTCACCCACTGCTGCCCTCAGCAGTGTACTGCGGTCAGTCTGCCTGTTCTGTTCCCTGCTCTATCTCTGGTGAATCCTCTCACCCCATGCATCTCTGGCCTGTACCCCAGCTCTTGTATGCATAAATAAATAAATTTTAAAAAAAGATCAATTCACATGGAAGACAGTATTTAACACATCCAAAATTCATATTCCTAGTTAGTGGAAATTAAAAATTTTTAAATTTACTATATGCTGGTCCACAAAGCAAATTTCAACAAATGTTAAAGGTTTGAAATCATGCAGAAATTGTTTTCTACCATAGCAGAAAAAAATCTAAAATTCAATAATAGAAGATATGTAGAAAAACATACAATTATTTGGAAATTAAGCAATAGTGTCTAAATAACTAATAAATCATAGAATAAATTAGAATGGTTGAAAACATTTTGAAATAAATTAGAATGACGAAATGTGAAAGGCAAAATTTGTGGGCTATATTAACTTCATGCCTAAGAAAATAATAATGTCTGATTTATCATCAGGGAAATACAAATTAAAATTACATTGCAAAACCACAGAATGCTCACCAAAATAGATTTAAAAGACAAAAAAGAAAGGAAATTTGACAATCCCATATATCGGTGAGAAGAGAGAGAATGTGTGTCTTTCATCTGCTAGAAGGGGCATAAACTGACAAGTACATTTTAAAGGTCTTTCTAAGTATCTGGGATTCAGAAATATACTTCTAGGAATATTCTCAATAGAAGTATAAACATACCAAAATGTTCTTAACCCTATTATGTATACTGCCTCCGTAAATCTAAGAAACACAAGTATGTATTGCTAGGAAAATGAATAAAAACGTTGTGTTTTATATACTAGTTAAAAGTCTAGCCTGGACTAGGATGGAATGGAGGAGAGAAAGACCGATGGATTTGGCTTTTCTTCTAGGCATAGTTGACTGGACTTGGTAATGAATCCTCATGGTGTGAGGAGAAGACAAGGATCATGGATAACTTGTAGATTCTTGAGCAAAGAGTTGCTTTTCACATCTACACTCGCATTACCTTTCACCTGAACTGCAGTTCACCTCCTTGCTCCCACTCTTGCATCCTATCGTCCTGTTTTCCACATAGCAGCCCAAAACAGCATTGGGAAACTTCATTTGATTAGCTCACTCATCCTGCTTACTACTCTCCAGTGATTTTTTTAATGTGCTTAATACAACGTACAAACTCAACTATGCCCCTCTGTACATGGTCTACCTCTGTCTAGCCCTCTGGTAACACCATATGCCACGGTTCCTCTTGTGAAATATGCTCTAAGCACACTAACTTCATTTTGTTCTTTGAAACACATTTATGCTGCTTTAGAGTCTTGCCTTTGTCTCTTCTGGTTTCTTTTGTCACTAAGTTCTCCATCAAAAGGTACTTCACAGAGTGGTCGTTCTTGGCCATCCAGGGTAAAGTACTCTCCATCCATTACTTTTTTTTACATCATTCTCTCTTTTCTTCATTGTTCTCAGGGTTTGAAACTCTTATTTGTATATTGTTAACGGAACATGTCCCTGTCATAAACGTAAACTCCTGAAAGTAGGGAGCTTAGATTGTTCACTGCTGCAAAATCAGCCAAGAGCACACTTGAGAAATAGAAGGTTCATAAGAAATAGAAGATTCATAAGTATTTGTTGGATCCATGAATAAATGGAAAATTCAGTGAAACAAAGATAGATTTGGGTAAGTAGCCTCATGGAAAGTAAAAGTATGCCCTTATTTCCCTTTTATGTTGAAATAAACTTTTGTAACAGTGCTGTTATTCAAAATCAAGATCCCCAGACATCTAAGCTTATTTGCCTTAGAGTACACATACATCCAGATTTCCACCTTGCTTCCCACCAGGTAGACCAAGTTAGATGTATTCCCTTTTACTTACTTTTCACCAGAAGAGCAAGTAGAACGTAGCCTGAAGGAGCTTGCTGGGTGCTGAAGTGTGGGATAATGGCCTTTTTATAGCAGGTCCATCTAGGGAGGAGCCATGCTCTGTAGGATGGTCTGATTCATTCTAACCAAACCCTGGCCCGCCCACATCTCCACCTCTATTTCTCTAGCAACATGTTTACTTCCCTACTTCCTCACGTACGCATCTATACTTGTTTTACCAAGT